CTCCTCATTTTCCGAATTGTGGGTAATAAACTCTTCTTCCAAGGCAGTTGTCTCTGTGTTTATCATTTTACCATCTCTGATTAAAACAAAATTCTGGGTACATTTAAAAACACCCCAAACCTTGTAAGGTAGGTAAGATAGATATTACTAGTACCAGTTATGCAGCTGGAGAGATGAGGAGTCAGTCTCTGAACAGACGATCCAGCTTCAGAACCACAATGAGTTGAGCATCCCAAATCCAAAAATCTGATTACAACCTTCAAAACCTGAAACTTTTGGAGTACCTACATGGTGCTCAAAGGAAGTGCTCACTGGAGCATTTTGGATTTTATATTTTGAAATTTGGCATGCCCAACCAGTAAGTATAATGAAAATACTCCAACATTCAAAATAATCCAAAATCTGAAACACTTCTGGTCTCAGGCATTTCAAGCAAGGGATACTTAATCTGTACTCTTAGTCATTATGCTAATTTGTCTTTATATATGTTGTCATATATCTAAGAGGGTTTAACTAGGGGCCACCCTACCATGGGACTCAGCTAGGCACTTCATAGGACATTTATGACATAAACTATTTAGTCCTTGTTCATTGTGAGCCTCAACTCTTTTTCTTTTTCCAATTTTAATTTGGTTATATATAGCCTTATATTCTATAACTGGATGTACTAGTCCATAGCAATGCCTTACAGGCGAATGAAATCTTCCCCATAAAACTGTAGACTGACATAGATTAACATAAAGATCAGGCCTTTGCAGTCATTTCTCTGATTTGCTAGCCGTTGAGTTCAGCCTATTTATTCACTGATAAATATTGAGCTAACCAGTCTTACAGAAGGGAACAGACACAGGATTTCAGATTGCTTAAGTTGCGGGGAGCCAGCCCTGCAAAAGATGAGATACTTGGTTTATACCTTCTCAAGAGCAGGACTTATCATGTATTATTAAGAAAGTTTACACCTCGCCTCAACCTATCTCTACCTTTCTTCTTTACTTGCCTCAGCCATTCTTTTCCTGCCCGGAAGCTCATGCTCTCTTAAGCTTTTTCTCCCCCGATAACTCTTCCTGTCTCAAGCAATCTTCATGAGCTGATTTAGCAACTGCCCCTATTTTCATCTGAGAAAGAACAAAGCCTGCAGGTTCAGGAGGAGGGGATGGAATCTGAATGCCCTATAACCAAGTGGCAGGAGCCGCCTGACATGTGTGGCATGCTGACCCAGCTCCACGGGCACCCCCACCATGTTCAAGAGCCGAACTCTGTAACTGAAGACAATCATAAGCCCAGCCTCGTGTTCTCAGCATCGCACATGTCAGAGCATGGACAAGAGCCTTCCCGCTCTGGCAATACTGGACAAGAGTGTCACAGAGTTGACAGGATTATATACAATATGTATACACAAAAACCAGGTACACGCAAGTCTTGGGAAAAGATGTGTCATGAAAACTGATGGAGGGTCCCAAAATAAGCAGCGGGGCTGTTCCCTAAGCCCTCAGCCTCTCTCTCCTCTCTGCATTGTCACTCCCCTCAGCCTTGCAGCCCCGGAGCTCAGGGATGAGTGTTGGGCCCCGCTCCTGCCTTCACTATTATCTGCTTTCTGGAAAGGATCTAACACAATTTTGTGCCATGTAATGACATTCCGATCAACAATGGACACATGTACAACAGTGGTCCCAAAAGATCATAATGGAGCTGAAAAATTCCCATCGCCTAGTGATGTTGCAGCCACCATAAAGTCACAGTGCACGGCATAACTCCCATGCTTGTGGTGGAGCTGGTGTGCACAAACCAACTGGGTCCAGTCCATAAAAGTATAGCACATGTAATTATGTACAGTTCTAATACTTGATAAAGATAAAACACAACCGTTACTGGTTTATATAGTCACTATACTATACTTTTATTGTTGTTTTAGAGTATACTCTTTCTATTAATACTTATATAAAGAAAAGTTAGCTGTAAAATAGCTTCCGGCAGGTCCTACAGGAGATATCCCAGCAGAGCGAGTTGTATCACAGGAGATGACAGCTCCAGGCATGCTATTGCCCCTGAGGACCTTCCAGTGGGACAAGATACGGAGGGGAAGACAGTGATATTGATGATCCTGACCCTGAGTAGGCCTAGGCTAATGTGTGTGCTTGTGTCTTTGTTTTTAATAAAAGAATTAAAAAAGTAAAAAATAGAAATAAAGAATTTTAAAAAGAGAAAAAAGCTTATAGAATAAGGATATAAAGAAAGAAATTATTTTTGTATACCTGTACAGTGTAATAACAGCTAGATGTTATTACAAGTGTCAAAAAGTTAAAAAGTTATAAAGTAAAAAGTTATAGCAAGCTAATTTATTATTGAAGAAAAATATTCTTCAATACATTTAGTGTATTCTAAGTGTACAGTGTCTGCAAAGTCTTCACGAGTGTACAGCAGGCTTTCACACTGGCTCATTTAACTCACTGACTCACCCAGAGCAACTTCCAGTCCTACAAGCTCCATTCATGGTAAATGCCCTATATAGATGTACTGTTTTTTTTTTTATCTTTTATACAGAATTTTTACTGTACCTTTTCTATGTTTAGATACATAAATACTTACCATCGTGTTACAGTTGCCTACAGTATTCAGTACAGTAACATGCTGTGCAGGTGTGTAGCCGGGGAGCAGTAGGCTGTACCATACAGCCCAGGTGTGTAATAGGCTGTGCCATCTCAGTTTGTGTAAGTAAATATACTCCATGATAGTCACATAATGGTGACATCACCTAACCATGCGTTTCCTAAAATGAATGTATCCCCTTCGTTAAGCAATGCATGCCTATATGTATTTCCACTACAGACGATATGACAAGTGATAAGTATTCTCTCTTCTAGGTAAGAGGCTCTAATTAAAAATTTTAGACGTAAAAATATACATGGGCTAACCATTTTACAACGGGAAACGGGGCAGTATTTATTTGTGCTCAGTCCTTCAGAGCTGAGAGCAGGTAGTATGCTTTTGTATCCTTCAGCAACTAAGGTAATAAATGATAAGAGCTTAATGCTTATTTTTGAATTAAATTTCATTTGCCAATTGTGCAGAGCACAGTCTAATTTAACAAAAGGCTTTGAGAAAGAATACAGTAGAGCAGATGCACATAGCAACCATTAAATTAGGATACAAGAGTCATGCCGTAAGGGGAAGCTCCTGCCAGGGGCAGCAGGAAAAAACATCGTGACACCCCAAGGAAAGCTGGAGCTCTTGGGTTTGGAGCTAAAAGAAATGAATTTGAGCCCAAAGAAACGGGAGGCTGGCCTCTAATCACAACAGCATAAGTCCCCTCCCAACACCATTATGGTGCCACTTTATATAACCATAAAGCTGCAGATGGATTTTATGAAGATTGGTCCTAATACATTTTAGAATCTCCATGTGTTTTTCTAAGCTCTTGCTTTTTACGACAATAAGATGCATGGATCCTAAGCATGGGGTAGGATGGGGACTATTTTGCATGTCATGTTGTAAGAATAAATTAAGATTTGCTAGTTTGGGAAATAGGCTTGCAGTGGAGGGGCGTGGAGGCAGGTCATCAGAGAGGGAAGCTCACTCCATCTCTTTGCATAGGCCCAGGAGAGCTCTGCCACCTGGGACAATAGCTTGGCAGGGGGGAACGTGCGGCAGAGGGGGACGTGCAGACGGGGTTGGGTACCTGGCTTCAGAAATGTAGTTCAGTTCTCCAAGGGCGGGGTTTGGCAACTTCTGCATAGGCATGGCATGCGGGAGGGAAGGTGCCAGCGTCAGTTTTCAATTTGCTGCTTTCCCCAGAACTCCCTCTCCCGCCCTCCCCTCCCCCCACCCCACCCCTACGCCCGGGTAAGCCACTGAGAGGGGGCGCAGCATTCTCTCGGCTTGCTCGGGTGTCGGGGGAGAGCGGAGCCGGGTGAGGTGCCCAGGCCGGGCGGGCGCGCCGGGGTTAAGGAGGGCGCCCGCGCCCCGCGCCCGCCCGCCGGGATGAGCGCGCAGTCCGCGCCGCCCGCCCGCCCGCTCGCTCCGAGGCGGCTCCGGGAGAAAGTGGCGGTCAGGGATGGAGCTGCTGCCATGACAACCCCGGCGGTCGGGGCCCGCGCGCGTCGGGGCTGCTCCCGGGAGGAAGGCGGCGCGGAGGCCGGGGGCGGCCGCTGAGCGCGGCGTCCGCGCGTCCCCGCGTCCCGTGCCGCGTCCCCGGAGGAGGCGGGGGCCGCCGTCCGCCCAGCTCCCCCGCGCCCCGAGCCTGCGCCGGGCGGCGCTCTGCGGGCTGGCGGCGAGGCGCCCACCGGCTGCGGGAGGACGGCCACCGACCGGAGGATCCTGCGCCGCGCGGCCGCCGCGCTCCCGCCTGGAACTTTTTACCTCCTCTGGGCTCCAGATGCGAGACTTGGGGCTGGTTTATAAATATTTCTATGCATATGTGTGATCTAATAAAACATTTTCTCCTCTCCTTGAAGCAGCAGCTTTTTATGACATCTCCTTTATGTCAGAGACACTTGCCTTCTTCTTTGGGTTATAAACTTTTGATGCCAGACCTCTGCAGAACGTGCCCAACTGAATCTTAAAGTAGCGTCTGGAAGAGAGTGGCAGAGAAAGCGCAATCTGTGACCTTCATCCCCGCACCTTCCTTCCTCCTCTCCCTCCCTGGCTGCCTCCCTCCTCCCCAGGGGAGCGTCGAGAAAGCTCTTTTTGGATGCAGGAGGGGGCATCTGGTTCTGCTAGGCTGGAAAGCTGAGGCAGGATTTGAGGAAGAATTATTAGACTCCGGAGAGCCTGGACTCTTTTCTTCTCCTTCCTCCTTTCTGCTTCTGGCGTGCTCTAGCCCTTTCCTCCCTCCCCACACCACTTCCTGAGACCCGCTGGTGTGCGGGGCGGGGACAGCACCGTGCCGCTGCCGAGTTCGGGGAAGTTGTGGCTGTCGAGGATGGGGGTCTGTGGGAACCTGTTCCTGCCCTGGAAGTGCCTCGTGGTCGTGTCTCTCAGGCTGCTGTTCCTTGTACCCACAGGAGTGCCCGTGCGCAGCGGAGATGCCACCTTCCCCAAAGCTATGGACAACGTGACGGTCCGGCAGGGGGAGAGCGCCACCCTCAGGTAGGGAGCTGTCCTTCAGCGGGGGCCTGAGCCCCTCGGATGTGGGTCCTGGGGAGGGGTGAGGGAGATAGAAGGGAAGGCTGCGTGGGGCAGTGGGGCATTGGAGCGCGCGAGGGCCTTCTGCAGGCCCGAGATGCCCACTGGCACGCTGTGGCTGTTGACACCCATGCCCTGGATAGGTTTGTCATCTGCTCCAGCTTTTCTGGTCCAGATGCTTATGAGTAAACATTGAGGTGCGCTCTTGGGACTCCATGGATCTGTGATGCCATGGCATGCTAGGTTCACTCTTGCGTGGGCACCAAGAGGAGAGCATGACAGTACTGGAGTTGAAATACTGGGTAGTTAGCCTAAGATGCCTGGATGCTCTTTCACAGGCCACAGGTATGTGATGAGGTGGGATCACTCCCAGGACCAGCAGGCTAGCCCTCATCAGAGGTACACCTGGAATTTAGGGCTCTGGAATGACCAGTGCCAGGCCACAGCTGTTAGGAGTTTGCACAAGACCCAGCACTGGTGCCAGCCCAGTGTGATGCTCCTGGGGCCTCTATTATAAATTATGAGGGCTGTTTTATCTTTGCAGACTGAGGCCAAGGAGAGGAAACATGTAGCTTTTCTGCAACATCACTCCTGTGTGGAAAGCACAATAGGAAAGCTTTTTGTTTTAACTTAATGAGTTACAGAGAATCACTTACATGCTCCAGGCAGAGGGGTGGAGATTCTTGGAATATGAACCTTTAGGGACTGGGCCTGCTGCAGCAGAGACTTTAATAAAAATGCAGCCACCACTTTCCACCAGCTCAGCAGATATCATCTTTTATCCCTTTAATGAGGCAGTTCTGGTCCTGGGAGACAGATTCAGGGACGTCCCAGCTTAACTATGTCTCACAGTGTACACAGGGTGAATGCATTTGCCCTGCCTATGACTTTGATGGTTATGGTGAAAATAAAACATTCTGACCCAGATTCTGCAGCCAAAATGCCTGGCTTCTCTAAGGAGACAATGAGGGTGGGAGTTCTTTCTGTTTTTCCTTTGGCTTCCCTGGTGGAACTCTCCCCAAATCTAGACAAGCCTCTCCCTGGGGAAGAAAAAGAAAGCATCTGGGGCACTAATATTCTTTTCCTAAGCCCAAGGGTTAAGGTTGGATTCTTGCCACTTTGTGTGGTGGTTCTTAGTTGGATCTTCTTTAGAGCTAAAGAACGGGTCCCAGAACCCTATCTGCTTTTTCTTGGATGCACAGAGAGCATAGAGAAAAAAAGAGGATAAAGATGCTTCTCCCAGACCATATGAGGGAAGAGTCCTCCTGGCCACGTGGGTACCCTTCTGCCTGCCCAAACTTGAGTGTAATATTCCTACTTCATTGCTTCAGAGAAGGTCTGGGAGTCAGCTCCCTGAGAAATGACTTGTGGGATGCATATTTACAGTGGACCACTTGGCTCAAAGACATGAGTAGCACATGGGCTATAATGCATGCTAACCGAGGAAATGTTGGTAAATGTCAGTAGTGCACTGGGATGTCAATGCTGCCACATACCTCTTTATCTTCTAACCTGTCGCTGGGGGAAAAGAGGTCCATCCCTGAATAGACCTCAGTGCATAATTTTTCAAAGTCCTCTGTCCTCTTCCTACTCCTAAAAATTAAACCAGAAACTTAAAAACTTGAGCTTTCTGCTTTCCGGGATGCAATAAGATGATTCTACCAGCAGAGGGCCAGCTTTGATCTACCATTTTTTTATTAGCTGCTGGCCTGTTTTCATGATCTTCAATTCTAATGTTTAGCAGCTGGGCTTGGGAATGGGCATGGGAATAAAACAAGAAAAGCTGAATAGTTGCTTTTTGTTCTTTATGGAAAAAACACACAACAACTTACATGTTCACTCACATGTTCGAGTATTATTGTTATCTGTTACCTGATTGCATGCTCTGATTTTTAAAGGCAAGCACATGTCTTGTGATGATTTTGCCTGTCATCTATAAATTTGCCCTGGGGAACAGACAAATTTAACACATTGTCCATATTTTAATCTCTTCATATCCTCTTTCTTTATCCTTTTTCTCTTCTCTTTTATTATTTTCTCACTTGATTTTTATCAGATGCTCCCATCGTGTATACTTTGGCCTGTTATTCATTCTCTTCTTTGTTTTTCCTTTTTATCATTTAATTTTTATAATTCCCTTATTTTTTAACGTTATGATTTCATTACTATTACAATGTTTCTTAAAAGAACACAAACCTCTCCTGCAAATTTCTGTGTATCCTAATCTCCCAATCTCTCCTCTTTTGTTTTCTACATTCTTTTCCTTTATTGGCTAACAGTTGTGTGACCATCTTAACAAAGAACTTGTTTGTCAGTACACTGAGGGAGAGTCCATGTTTCTGGTTTCCAGAAGTCGCTGGCCTCAACCCCAGATAAATGGACCATGTTTTATTTGGTGATGTTTTTCGCTTTTTTAAAAAATATATAAGTTTTAAGTATGGTTATTCTTTGGTCTCTTTAAAGACATTCACTGGGAATTCATTACTTGGTAATTCACTGTTCCAAATGCACCAAATGTTCAGTATGAATCAGAAAAATTGAATGATATCTATGCTTATAAGCCAAAAAAATCCTTTTCAAATGTGACTGCCCTAGATCAAATTATCTTAAGTCTGTTTCTAATTCTTGGATGGAGTCACAGAAGGAGGCCAAAGACCTAGTCGAAAAAGCAAAGGAGTCAAGAAACCTGGGTTTGCTTTCAGCTTTTCTGATGAAAAATTACCCAGCTTGGAGAAGAATGATTTCCTTTCTTTGGGATATCAGTTTTGTTGTGACAGGTCTTTGATTGCACTGAGGGATATTAGGAAGTGATGTGCCAAAGATGACACTGAAGTTTTGAACATGGATGAAACTCATTTTATATAAGTGAGGCAATATTATCTTCCTTATAACTACTTCATAGGGCTACTTGAAAAGTAAAAATAATTATTTGAATATTGAGTTATTTTGCCTTCTTGGGAGAGAGATGATATGGAAAATGAAGGTGCTATTCACTAGGGTTGAATTATAGCTTCTATGAATCTGATTTGAATTCATTATTACAAATGGGCCCTCTTGGCCAGAATCATTTCATTACAATTATCTGCTGTTGGGTTAAAAATGTTCAGTGCTTTTCCATTAGATTAGATATGACAAGTATCTAGAAGTCCTGTGTCTGAATCAATGCCCACATCAGGAAAGGAGTCCAGGATCCTCAGTATGGTCCGTCGGTGTCTGTTAAACCATCTCAGCTGAATGAATGACTGCATTTGTGCTTTCGTAGTGGGCTTCAATCTCTCTAGATTTGCTTTAGTTCTTCTGGGGGTCTACGTTGTCTGTGGGCATTTTGAGGAGTGCAGTGGGATAGAGGTAGCGATTGTTGCTGTAACCATCCCACTCAATGGGAGAAGCTCCCATCAACATACTGGGTGTTTTGTTTGTTTTTTAATAGCAGGATAATGACTTTTGTTGATTTAGGCTTGCTGATCTGGGATTATGCTTAATGGCTCTTTTCTAAAGTGTCCCTGCATTTTCATTCTGAGGTCCTCGTTAATCCATTCGGAACCGAGTATTTGAGGTTTAACTACCGCCAAGGACTAATCTGAGCAGTGGGATTTCGCCAAAGCATCCGGGCAGCGGAGTTCCCAAACACAATGTTTTGTTGTTTGCCTCCTCTGAGATTCTCCATATTTTGCACTTACCATCAGCAGCTCTTCCTTTTGTGTAAATTAGAAAATTTAGAGTAGCCAGTAGGTATTTCAAAACAAATGCATGAGTTTTGCATGTCAATGTTTCAGTTGCCTAAACTGAATAGGGCTGTGTTATGTGCATAGGCTTTGCTCTTGGTCTGGGAAGATGAAGAAATAAAAAGACACTCAAGCAGGTGCAGGTTCATAAAGGACCTCTCAAGTGGTGGCACTAACCTGGTTGGAGTTACCTGGGACACTTTAAAAATTTCGATGCCAGGCTCCCAGAGCAATGAAATCAAAATCTTTGGGGTCAGGCATGGCTATGGGCACTTACAGCATCTTTCCCAGTATTTCTAATGTGGAGCCAGAGTTGAGAACCACTGCTCCAAATCCCCTTCCAGCCCTAGAACCTTGAGCAAGGCTGGTGTCCAGTGTCCCCACCTTCCAGGGAAGTGCTCCCCCCCCATGTTCAAAGGGATGGCTACGTTAACACTCTAGAAAGTGCTGTGCTCAGCGGCATGGGTACCTGGGTTTGATTCTTACTCTCCCTGTTACTACCTACGTGACCTTGAGCGCTTCAGTTCAGTTGTGTACACATGGAAACAATATCCTCCTGGTCTGTGTTATCAGGTGCTGTGCTGTAACTATAAAGCAACACGTACATGCAGGTTGTTACTGGTACTAAACCGAACTCCTCACTAACAACTGACATACTCTCAATCTTTTCCGGTTTCATCTGCCCCATCTTCTCCTTGCTCTACCCCACACACATACACACCTTTAAAATGTGTGAGTCTCTTCCCAATTCCACTCAGCCTTCTGCTTTTGGGAGTAATCAAGAATGACCCACATCTGAGTTCCAATAACCCCTGCTACGGATCTATGTTCTAACAGATACATACTGTGGACCTGTTGTTTTTTCATGTGTGATTATGGGTAGATTGTGGGCTCCTGGAGCTTAGGAGCTATGTCTTATGAATTGAGTGCAGATATTGTGTTGGAAACTATGGATTAAAAAAATAAGTATTGATTTAATGTGTTAATCTATCTTAATGGGACCCAACCTCCTCTAATGTATTATTATCTCTATGGCAATGAAATGCTATATCTATAGGATTTTGTTCTCTTAAAATATGACCTGGGACATTCAGGCACAGCAGTTGGTAAGAGATCTTGGAGGCCTGAGGGATTTTTGGATTCCATTCAAATCATTTGCCGGAGGGGACAGTTGAATCCACCAATGACTGCAGTCTGATCTGAAACTATGCAAAAGTCTTCACTATCCCTGAGGCCAAG